GGACCCACTTGGCAGAGGAGGAGAAACCTCAGAAGGGGAAGGCAGGGGATGGCTCCCGGCTGAGCGCGGGCAGGGTTTGGCTGGAGAGGACATCTCTGTGCCCTGCCCAAGTGCTGGGAGTGAGGGCTGAGAGCTCTCTCCCAGGGGCAGCTCCCAGCAAAGGCTAGAGATGGAGCTGAGAGGGCGGTGGCATGAGCACATGATGGCCACAGCATCCCTTGGAAGGGTACTGGAGAGACCCCCCGCATGCTGCTGCTGCTGCTGAGGCTTCCCTGCTCTCCTGGGGGCTTTGAGATTCCCTCCTGCAGCTCATGACCAGGAGCACAGGAAACCTGCCAGAGGCAGCAGGTCCCACCAGCCCAGCAAACCACCCATTGCTGCCGGTGATGGCTTTGGTGAGGAGGATAGAGAGTGAGGTCTGCAAGGCATGTGTGGCACAGTGATTGGGAACCTGCACCCCGCCTGGGTGCCAGCAAGAGGGCTGCAAATCCCAAATCCCCCCAGCCAGAGGGCGCGGGGACCTGCTGCCAGGCAGGATGTGGAGTCATCATCCCAGCAAAGTCCAGGCAGCCCCCCAGTCACCCCCAGTGGCTCCACACTCGGTACCAGGCAGGTGCAAGGAAGCTCACCGTCTATCGTGGGCTGCTCCGAGCTGTCCATCTCTGGGACCTCATTGTAGTCCTCCTCCTCCCCGTACACGCTATCGTACTCGAGGTCATCAGTGTCAAGCATGACCTGCCTGTCATGCCCTGGGAGACAGCGCTGAGCATGAGCAGCCCTCACTATCCCCTCCATCCCCTCTGTCCTGCTCCCCTCAGCCACAGCCCTGGCTCTGCACACACACGCATGCACACACATGCACGCACACGCACGCACACACACTCCTTGCTGCCCTCTCCTCTCCCCACTCTTCAATTAAAGCCTCCTGGGACGGGCAGCATGGCCACCAATGGATTATCTCTCAGTGCCTGCGAGCGGAGGGCAGGGACATGACACAATGGAGCAGGGGAAAAGGGGGATGGCAACTAAAAGCACAGGGATACTCACCCTCCTCTTCCTCAGCATGTGACAACTTGAGCACAGGGACTGCATGAGTGCTGTCAGCAGGGAACGGCTGGGTGTGGAACGGCCCTGCAAGGGGGAAGGACATGGAGCAGGCATCAGGAAGGGGGCAAGAGGGCCTGGGGCACGTCCCCCTGCCTCCCAGGGGAAAACCACCCCTTGCAGATGTGGAACAGCCCAGCACTGCCCCGGCACTGCTTCAGCCTGCCAGGGTACAGGACCAGGGATGAGGGACCTGGGGACACCCCATCCTCTCTCTGCACCGCAGACCAGGGCTGCCGGGGGCTCCCAGAAGAGGGACAGGCAGGAGAGCTGCTCCCCAGTGAGACAGGACCCGCTGGGAGCCTAGCGGGATGGGGATGGGGATGATGATGGGCACGGGGAGGCACATATGCCCACGGGGCCACATCTTGTGGGTCCTCCAGGCTCTCCATCACCTGTTTGGTCGTGCTCCCTCTCCTGGCGGATGCTTCTTGCTCCTCCCTGGACAGAGTGGAGGCTGCTCCTGGCCTGAGCCCCCCAGCCTCCTTGGAGAGAAAGCACCCACCTCATCCCAGCCCACCCCTTGCCCCTGTCCCTCCATCCCACTCCTCCAGCCCACCCTCCCCTCCAGCAGTCCTGGCCCCAGCAAGCCCGCCTGTCCTGGCTCCGGCACCCAAGCATGGATGGGGCGCAGTCCCCGTGGTCCATTCTCGACCGGGCAGACCCTGGCAGCGCCTGGACCCAGTTGGCACCATCCCAAGCCAGCTGCCCCTGGGGATCCCTGCTGCACCATCACTTCTGCCATGCACCATCCCTCCTCCCCGTGCACAGTCCCATGCTGATGCTGACCCTGACCGAGGGGGTCCCAGGGGGTCCCAGCTGCCTCCAGCCCCCCCAAACTGGCAGACCCCTTCAGTACTACACGCGCGGGGCAGGGGCAGGGAGGTAGGAAGGGAGAGCCGCAACCTGAGTGCTCACGTGAA